CCCGCCGCGAAATTTTCCACTTTTGCCTCCACCGCTCCTTCGGCTCTCGGAATGCGGAATTTCTACTCCAACACCCGCCCTCGCGGTCTAACACTCTAATTCCCGCGCCCATCCGCAAGCCACACGCAGGAACCGCAGAGCCACTTTCACACCGAGCCCGCTTTCATCGAACGACAAACGGCAGAACATGCATATGCATTGAGCCTAATACAAAGTACACGGAGGGACAATCGGAGATAGTGATACAAGACGACGGCACGAACCATGCAAAAGAAAGAGAGAAGCGGAAAGACGGCGGCAAGGGAAGGAGGCTGATGCGAGCTTGGACCTATGCAATCGTGAGAAGAGGTGTTGCAGCCAGACGATTAGGAAGAGAAACCACGTGCGATGCGGATGAGCCAATGTCGAATGCAGAGAGACGGAGAGTGGTGCGGCCAGAACGAGTTGAGGGAGAAACCGAGAGCGAAGATGCATCGGACTAGCAGATGACGCAGCTGCAGCCTGGTGTGTCTTCCTGCTGACGGGAGCCTCGACGTGGCTGTCCTGGCTCAGCTGCCGTGGTCTTGACGGGCGATTCTGATGGCATACGGTTGGCGAGCATAGGATAAGGGTCAGAACGACGTGTACAACGACAGTGAGTTGAGGATGTGGGATCAAACTTACCCTGCTCCACTTTGGTGGGCTCTGGTGGTGGGAGCGATCGGATGATAATGTGAACGACGGTGGTGGTGCCGGGCTTGCAGCCCCGCGATGCCAGCGTGAGCTCGGGCGCGTCGAGGATGTGGCCGAGGTGGAACAGCCTCAAGTAGGCCGACGACTCGGGTTTGGGCTGCGGCCACGACTCGGGCCAGTTGTTCCAGATGTGGTTTCGCACCGCCTCGACGGTCTCGTTGGGCCCAAACTTCCACGTCTTGCGCTGGCCTGTGACGAGCAGCGTGCTGAGGTGGACTGCGGCCGAGGCTGGCATATTGTCCGAACGGGATGGTGAAGCTGCTGCCGAGGCGTGTGAAGAGCTGCGGGTGTGCGGTGCTGAAGTGACTGGCGATTGAGTGTCAGCAGCGTCCCTGACCGAGACCGAGACGGGCGAGCAGCAGTCTGCCTTCTTGGGGTCGACGGAGCTGGCCGATTGGTTGGAGAGCACGGGCGCGAGGCTGGCACCGCCGTGTGCGTCCACAGAGCCGTTGTCTGTGGAGCAGGTGGAGATGCGGTTCTTCTCTGTGGCGTGCATCTCGCAAGACGTGGCCGTATCGTTACGCGAGCAACGAGGCAGAAAGTGGCGGTCGGGAGGTGGTAGCCACAGAAGGTCGAGGTGAGCGAGTGTAGTGTGAGCGATACGACGGGGCCGTGTGCCGTGTGCCTGGTATCGAGGATGTCAAGTGTCGAAGGTCGGCGACGAGAAGTGTTGACGAGGAGATGATGGTTGAGTGGGAAAGTCAGGAGGATGAGGCTAACCAAAAGCAAGCGTCTAATCTGGGCAAGGGCAAGCGAGGTGAAAGATGCTCCGACCCTCGATACGCTAGCTGCGGGCCCGTCAGATACGCTTTGACTCAGAGTGCGTGTCGGTGGGTGTTGCTGCTGTCCGCGCTCCAGTCGGAGTCGCTCCGACGGCGCAGCAGCAGGAACGAATGCCAAGGCGACACTGTGTGGCCATTGCCAACCACTGTAAGTGGGCGTAGCAGCAGGAGCGGCCGGGCGGGGGGAGGGCGGCCGATAGTGCCGGACGCTGACGCAGGTGCACTTCAGAAGCACGGGAAGCGGCTCTGAGTCTCTGCAGTTTCGCCCACCCGTCCCGCCGTTGGGCTGCAGCGCGTATGCATGAATGACGAGATGCACCCGGTCCAAGACACGCCTTGTTGCCACGGCGAGAGAGAGAGAGAGCCTGGGCGGGTCTCGACCCCGACTATTTGCGCAAGTCCAGCGCCACCAGGGCAAGCTCAAGCGCAAGAAAATTCAGTGAGCCGCCTCGGCCGCTCCGATCCCACAGCCTCTGCGCGCACGGCCGAGCCGAACTCGTGAAACGCGGCGGGTCAGCTTGTCTCGCCTGTCTCGCCCTGTGGAGATGGTCAGCTCAGCACGGCCAAGCTGAGCTCCGCGTCCACGGCTTGACGGGCTGCCAAGCCAACCTCTTGGCCGTGAGATACTCGAGTGTCCGCTCGTCGATGGAGCCATGATTGGCGTAGGCCGAATAGTGGCATCGGAAGAGGCTGTAATCTAAACAGGGGCGGCAAGGGGCGGCAAGCGTTGGTGCCTGGCGCTTTTCGATCTCAGATGGCCTATCTAGCTGGCATTTCGGTGTGGCGATCCGCATGGGAGCCAATTTCCACATCGCCTCGACTCCTCGAGTCAGCCAGCCCAGTCCGACCCTGCCGACCTGCGCTCCGCCAGCCGACCGTCCGCGTAATCGTCGGAGATGGTCGGAACGCAAAAGACAGCCGCCGCCCCCGCCTGCGGTCACCCCTTGGCCACCAAAGCTGCTTCTGTATCGTCTCGAGCGCGCGAGCGAAAGCCATTGCATTGCCTTCAGTATCGATGTTACGAGCCTCGCGCCGCAACGCTGATCGAGACCAGCTCCCTATCTGTCATTCGGCCACCAACCGCCCGGATGACAAGGTCGAGTTCAAGGCCAGGTGCGACTCGCTGTGGCAGTAAGCGCTGTGGTGGCGACCGACGCTCAACGGCATCTCGTCTCGAGAGGATGGAACGTGACAGCTTGGTTGCTGCAGCCCGTTGCGGCGGATTGCATGAAGCTTGGCGGTGGCCCTTGGCAGCTGATCCCAAGCAAAGGTCGCGTGGCACCATGCAGTCGTGCATCCAACACTGCTCCCCCGCCAAGCGCGTTCCTGCCAAGACAAAACCTTCTCGTAACGCCGTCTCTGCGCTGCGCCGTGCCAAGACCAGCTGTACGGACTGCACTAGCCTCTTTCCGCACAGCCCCGCCTCGGCTTCCCCACACTCAGTCTGACGAATGGCAGAATCCGTAGGAGGACCGGTGGTGGTGGGGACGGCCAGCGAACCTAGTCTGCGCACCCGGCAATTTTATACCAGAATGTTAGTTCATAACATTTCTGATTCCATGTTAGACCCTCCTTCCAGAGCACGAGCATCCGTGCGCGCTGACGGCGACGTTTGGTAGCCGGCGTCCGGCTCGGATGCCCCCGCATTTTTGGGCTCCATTGCCGGGCGGCGTCTTCAGCGACAGGCACGTCCGTCCACAGCTCCATCACCACCGTCCTCCTCCTCGCATCGATCATATCGCCAACAATGCTCGACGCAACAGCCTCTCGATTTTACACCACACCCATGACCACGCCGCCGTCGCGGCCGGATGCGACGCCGACGCAGCGAAGGTACCACTACCTCGATCACCGCCCGCCCACCGGAGTGCCTGAGCGAGCAACACTACTGCTGCTGCACGGCTTCCCCGACTTTTCCTACGGCTGGAGGAATGTCGTTGCGCCGCTGAAACTCGCCGGCTTCCGACTCATCATCCCGGACCTGCTCGGATACGGTCTCAGCTCGTCGCCGCCCACCTCGGCCGCATCCACCGCGCCGGGCACCGAATCGCGCCTCGCAGAGTACGGAGGCCGCGCCATCTCGATCGACCTCAACGGCTTGCTCGACCACGCACGTGCTGCTCAGGGCTCCGAATACGGCGCAGAGAGCCTCACCTCCGATGGCCGCAATGGCCGCGTCATTGTCCTGTGCCACGACTGGGGCTCGTGGCTCGGCTGGAGATTCGCACAGTGGTACCCCGAGCGTGTCATGGGCGTGTGCGGTCTCTGTGTGCCCTTCCAGGCTCCCACATCCAAGTATCTGTCCATCGACATGGTGGTGAAGAACGTGCCCAACTTTGGATACCAAAAGTTCTTTTCCGAGGAGAGGAGCACCAAGATCATCGAGCAACACGTGAGTAGCCCGCAAAGGTTCGCTTGCAACTTGACCGCAGCGCACTGACCAAACGCTTTCTGTGCGATTGTGTTGTATTGTGCCACAGTTGGAGCGCTTCTTGGCCATCATCTACATGATCCCCGGTCTGTTTAGCGCCGACTCGGAGAACGACGAAGAGATTCGGGACTGGCATCTGCTGGGCAAGCTGGAAAAGCTGATTACGATGCCCGAGTTCTCGGACATCCCGCTCAAATACCTCGGTCGCATGATTCTGGATGGCGAGCAGCTTGCGCACTATGAGCGCATCTTCCGCAGCCGCGGCATGGAGGGTCCGCTCAGCTGGTATCGCACGCGCGAGGTCAACTGGCAGGAAGACCGTGCGCTCACATCCAAGACGCTGCCCGAATCGCTACCCGCTCTGCTCATCTCGCCCAAGGACGACGTCGCCGTACCCCCGGCCATGGGCAGGACCATGCTCAAACACGTGCCCCAGACCGAAATCATCGAGGTGGCGGGAAGCGGACACTGGGTCCAGAACGAGCTGCCCGGCGTGGTCGTGCAGCACTTCAAGGAATGGGTCGAACGATCGGTGCTGCCAAACGAAAAGAAGGGCAGCGGCATGCTCGGGTGGCTGCGAAGCAAGCTCTAGCTGTGCATCGTCATTGTCCTGTTCACATTTTGTATCGAATTACGCAAATGCGCACACATGACGCACACATGAAGAGACACATGTTGACAGAACAGAAGACTTTGAATTGCGATCGAGGCCGAAGGTGCGTGCGTGCGTGTGCTTGTTGAACAGCCACAGACGCTTGTGCGGGAACGAAGGCGAAGACGAGATGCAGACCGAAGCGTGAAAGTCGCACCGCTTAGACGACGAGGTACTTGCCCTGGGAGGCGAGGTCGTTGGAGACAAAGGCGGCGTAGGACCAAGTCAGGTCGCGCGCGCCAGTGTTGTAGCCCGTGTTGCGCGAGAACTCCTCGTTCATAGAGCCGTTGGACTGGGTGTGGGACTGGACGATGTTGACAAAGCCGTTGGCCATGGCCTTCATGCCCGAGGTGAGCGTGGTGAACTGGCTCGAGCCCGAGGCGTAGGTGCCTGCCGCCGCCGACGACGAGAACTGCCTGAAGAAAGGTAGCGAGGTCGAGGTGACGGCGAGGCTGCCGCGAGCATTGGCAACCGAGACGGCAGTGTTGAGCACCTCGGCCGCGGCGAGCGTGCAGATGAACCAGGGGTTGCCCTGCGACGTGCCATTGCCGTCGTACACATCCTCCTGGTAGCGACCGGTGGCAACGGCGTTGGGCGCCGCGGCGTTGTTGTTGATGGCGTAGAGCGAGCGGAACGAGTCGACGTACTTCTTGTGCGTGGCCAGCACCTTGTCCGAGGCGGGGCCGAACTCGGTGGCGTCGACGGCGGCGGTGGCGTTGGTGGTGTCCCAGCCCTTGAGCGCGCCGAGCATGACGGAGCAGTCGAGACCCGAACGGCCGCTGACGCCCTGGTACGCCTGGATGTAGCCGTTGCCCGAGTCCCAAAAGGTCTGCAGCTTGGTCTTGACCGCGGCGGCCTGCTGGTTGTAGTAGGTGGCCGCACCAGGGTCGCTCATCGAGGTGGCGAACTTGGCACCGTCGACGAGCGCACGGCGCTGCACGGCGAGCGTGAAGAAGTGCGCACCCTGCACCTCCTCCCACAGGTCGAAGCTGCTGTCTTGCCAGTGGTGCGACACCCACTCGAGGTCGGTCTTGATGACGCTGCCGGCGCTCAGGTCCGACTTGTACAGCGTGCCGGTCACAAAGGGGTCGGTGAGGCCGATGCGCTTGGCAAAGGCGATGAGCGCCGAGGCACGCAGCGCAGGGCTGTCGTTCTGCGGACGACCCCAGGGACCCGTGAAGAGCGATCCATCCGTGTTGAACTTCGGCTCTCCCTGGCCGGAGCTCGAGCTGGCGGCGTTCTGCTGGTGCACCTTTTCGGCGTTGGCGTAGTTCTGGACGAGCGTGCGGTCGAGCGTGGACTGCGAGATGACGACCTTCATGGTGAGGGCGGCGTCGCGCACCCACGAGTAAAAGTAGTTGGGGCCTGCGGTGGAGGGCGAGGCGATGACGGCGCCCGACTGGACGCCGGGCACCTGGTTGCCGCCAGCGGTGGAGGAGGCGCCGCCGATGTTGGCGAGCATGCGCTGGTACGAGTAGTTGGAGGTGGTGGCGCGGGGCTCGAGGCGGCCGGCGTTCTGCTCGAGGCCGATGAGCGACCTGGCAACCGAGGCGGCGTCAGCGTTGGTGCTGAAGGCGCACAGGCAGATGAGCAGGAGCGCCAGACCGGCACTGCCGAGCAGGACCATGGGCTTGCTGCGCGTCTGGGTCTTGGACATGGCTTCGAGATCGACGGACTCGTGCGAGGCTAGGATGGGGTGGGAGGGATTGAGAGGCAGGGAGAGATAGCCAGAGGAGTGGTTGGATGAGGAGGAGCGAGAGAGTAGAGGCGAGGATTCATGGTGCTCTTTTATGCTTCTTGACGAGACCATGGTGGGCATGGTCAGCCGCACCGGTCCCACACCAAGCGGCGGGTGGCTGCCTCGCTACTGTGTCGTGTCCCTTGGCAGCGCTTGGTTGGGCGTGCAAATGGGACGTTGTTGAGCTTGATGCAAATTGGCGGAACTTGGAGCTTCGTCTAGGATGCCTTGCCCTGTGCTGGCCTCGCTGCGCAGCCAAAATGCGGCAGGAAGAAGAAGACGATGGAGCGGGGCCGGAATAGCGAAAGAAAAAAGTTGCGGCCAAGCGAGGAGGTTAGTTCCGGGTGCGCTTGATGCGAGATGCGTGATGCGGCGGGCTGTGATGGTCGAGGCGGAGCAGCTGATGTGCGGAGATGCGGGCTGATCCTGGGTGGGGCAAGCGAGCGTGATGCAGAAGCGAGCTGTGCTATTCCGGGCTGGGCCAAGGAAGCGGACGGCAGCCAATGGCAGGCAGAGGCAGCGGAGGTAGACACTACTGCCGGTCCTGACGACACAAGCGAGATGGTGGTGCGTGGGGGACGAGGGTGCACACGAACCGTGCACGCTTGCGAGCGAGGGGTTGTTGTGGCGTGTGGAGGCGGAGGAGAGGAACGCGAGGATGCGGGCGTAGTCAGGGTCCACACCAACAACCATGCCTCTCGTTTGGGCACACGCGGGGCCCAACCCCAAGGGGGCCATGAGTGGGGCCACCCGCCGCAATTTGTTTCTGGAGGTGATCGTCGCTCTTGCAGAGACCGACTGCTCGTCACGATTCATGTCATCCAGCGTTCGCCCAGCCGAGGGCGCGCATTTGCACGAGGCCCGAGCCCCGAAGCGGCAGCAGACGCCAGGGCCGGAGGAACTGCACCGACGGATTGGCATTTCGCCAACCTCGCAGCGGCGGAAACGGAGTGCGAAAATCTCTCCGAGATCTGGATGGGGGCGATGGGCAGCATTGTGCTCCAGGGCCGGGTTTGCACAGAGTTGTGATGCGTGATGCTGCCGAGCATGGATGGCAGAGGGGCTCGTTAGCGCGGCTCGGATCGACGTGAGCCGGACCAACCGCAGCATTTCCCTCCTCGACAGCGCGGCCTCTGCCAGACGTCAAAAGCTGCACGTCCAACGCCGCCCGCCGCGTCGACAGATTGCCGACGTGCAGTGCTGCACACCTCTCGCCTCCCCGGCTTCTCAGGCAATTGCAAAATGGACATGGTCGCTGTCGGAGTTGACGCTTCCGTGCGGCAGTTCGCAGACCGTCTGCTTCCCCACAGGCTCTTCTCCACACTTTGCCGACCAGGCGAGTGGGTCGGGTCGGGCAAGTGTTGTTCGCTTGGGCGCAATCCAATGGCCGCGTCGCTCCGTAGTCTCGCCGCACTGGCTAGCTGCCATTGTATCAATGATCATCACGGCGGCGCGGGACGGATGGCGACATGCACGCCCGACTCCGCCGCCGAGCAAACCTAATTGCCTTGCAACCGCGACCAAGCCACTGTACGAGTTTACGCAAGCCGACGGATCTGCTCGAGCGGCAATGTTGCGGGACGAGTTGAGCACGGCACAAGAAAGGGATGACAGAAAGCTAAGTTAGGGCAAGACTTCAACTTGCGGCTCGGCTAGTAAGGCAGGGCTGGACTCGGGCTCGGTGTAACCCATTGAGCCGATGCATGAAGCGCCGCGATCCGAAGATCTTGCCGTTGCTGGTTGCGGTGGTGGCGCCGGGCACAGGCAGTTCATTCGGACCTATCGGGCAAGCGCTTTGGCCACGGCAATGCATCACCTCGCCCCGCACAGAATCCTTCCGCCCCCTCCTCCCAGCCTCTCCGGTGGGGAGAGTCCGGGGCAAGACGACTTTTGCGTTTGTGTTGGAGCTCCGCACCGCCTGCATCGCCGTTGGTTGCACGTCGAGCATCAAGCTTCCATCATGCGCCATGCACTCACACCTACCGGGTTTCGGTCGAACTCTGCCTTGCACCTTGCCCATTCGCTGTGCCACTTCCCACGCTTCCCCAGATCTTCTCGAAGCTCCAAGCCTGCCGTTCCGTTCATGCCCCTTTACCCCGCCTTACCACCCGTACGCGCCTTCCTTGTCATCACTCACAAACCGGCTGGACAGCCAAGATGCGCGCCGGCAAGCGTTATCTTCCATATCAGGAAATCTGTGCGCCTGCAACTCACTTTTTGGCGGCCGTGGATGCATGAATCGCTCGCCACGCGATCCGCCATCAACCCGCGGAATACAGCTACCGGAAAGGGAAAGTTGGTGCGAAGTTTGCGAAGTTTGCGTTGCGGAGGGTAGTGTACAAATTTTGGTTCCTGTTGTTCCACAGGGAAAGGAGTGGGGGGAAAAGATCACGCGTAGATGGCCTTTTCCGTGATCCTGTACGGCTTCTTCTTCTTGCCGCCTAGCCTCTTCTTGGCAGCATTGAAAAGCTTGGCGATCGCCCTGGCCACCGGTGCCACGGCGAAGAACTCGAAGAGCATTCCGAGGCCGAACTGCGCCATGATCACGCCAAAGATGATCCAGCTAAAGTGGTGAGGCATCTCGACGAAACCAAACAAGCTGAAGAACGGACCGCCGGTGAGGAAGAGGAAGTAGAACGAGAAGATCGACAGGATGACGAGGGCGGGTGCGAGAATCCAGTTGAAGGCGAGCAGCTGACGGTGGGGTGGTCCGAGCGAGTAGGCCAATCCGGCGATGATGTAGGAAAAGACCGAGGTGCGGAAAAGTGCGGTGTTGTCCATGTCGTTGAGCGTCAGATCCTCGGGGTCGAACTCGGGCGGTTCGTACCAGCTCTTCTGGTGCAGCACCACGTACACCACCGTCTGCGCAAGGAAGCCAAGGATGACCTGACCCAGCATCGATACGACGGGCTTGGACGACGACAGCCTCGCCTCGGGCGGCAGACGGAAGAGCCTCTTGGCCGGCAACGAGTTGGCGAGCCCGATCGCGATGGGCAGCACGCAAAAGATGTCGATGAACAGATACTCGGCGTTGTCCAGCGACGTCGCCTTGCCGTACAGCAGGATGACGGTAAAGTACTCGGCGAGCGAGTAGCAGCTCATGAATTTGAACATGGCGAAAGAGACGCTCAGCGTCGAGCGGCCCTCGCGGATCAGATGGATGATGGCCGAGATGTCCTTCTTCCTCGATGTGAACGGCGCGGCCACCGACGCTTCCGCCTCGGAGAGCGACAGACCGACGTCGGCGGATTTGAGCGCACCGCAGTCGTTGGCGCCGTCGCCCGTAAAGGCGACGACGTAGCCGTGCGTCTGGAGACGCTCGACGAGCTCCTGCTTCTGCTCGGGCGAGAAGCGGCCAAAGATCTTGCAGTGCACCAGGATGCGCGCGAGCGTTTCGGCCGAGCAAGTCTCGATGAGCGTTCGCAGAATCTCTCCCGATACGGCAAGTTCGACGTCCTTGAGTCTTCTTGGCGTCTCGCCCTCGCGCGCGACGGGGTCGAGCGTATACGCATCCAGCCTGTTGTGCTCATTGTCGACGCTCACCCACTCGACGACAGCGGGAGCTTTCGAGTCCTTATCGTGCCCGTGCGCCAGTCGAGGGGTAAACACCTCGGCGTGCGCATCCACAATGCCGCACTCCTTGCCCACCGAAACGGCGGTGAGCACCGAGTCGCCCGTGCACATCTTGATGGGCAGCCTGGCATCGGTGGTGATGGTGGCGATCGACGCGGTCGTGGCGGCCTTGAGCTTGTTTTCGAAGACGATCAGGCCGAGAAAGTCGAGCTGGCTCTCTGCCTGAGTGCGCGTGAGCGTTTGGGCGCCGTTCCAGCCGAGCGCGTCGATGTGCTTGCCCGCAACGGCCAGCACGCGGAAGCCCGAACGCGTGCACCTGTCCAACACCGCATTGTAGTCGCTCGGCAGCGACGATGGATGGCACAGCGAGGCGATCGACTCGGGCGCACCCTTGCAGTACACCTGTGCACCCCGTTCGTTGTCGCGCTTGACTACGACACTCATACGGCGCAGCGAGGCGGTGAATTCGAACGTGCGCACCACCGCCAACGAAGCGCGCGTGCCGTCGGCAAGAATCACGGGTACGCGAGCCAGCGTACCGTCCTTGGTCAATGGCCTGCTTTCAGACTGCAGGACGGCCGACTCGTTGGTGAGGTGTACGGGCGCGAGCGCAGCATCGTCCTGCAGCTTACGGCGCGTCCACTCGAGCATCTTGACCTCGAGCGGCTCGCCAATGGGCTCGCCGTCGAGCAGGTTGAGGTCGTGTGCCGTAGCCATTGCCTCGACCAGGCTGAGCTCGCCCTCGCTGCTGCCCTCGCTGGTCTTGTCGTCGCGGCCCTGGGCGGGGGCGGGGGCGTGCTGAACAAGGTCGGTAAACTTGCCTGCGCGCACGGTTCGAATTCCAAGCACGTCGAGACCCTCCTCGGTGAGGGTACCCGTCTTGTCAAAGACAAACATGTTGACCATGCCAGCCACGTTGATGCGCTGCGGGCTGAGGCAGAAGATGTCGCCTCGCTTCAGACGCGCGATGGAGAAAGTCACGCAGATCGAGAGCGTAGCGGGCAGTGCTGGGGGCACTGCGATCGTGAGCACATCGAGCGAGCGCAACGCGATCTCCTCGGAGCTGACCCCGATGATCTTAAAGTAGATAATCGAGGCGACCATACCGATCGTGGCGATGATGAAGAGGTTTCCGATAAAGTAGAAGGCGTCTCTGTAGAACTTGTGCGAGATGGGGCGCGGGAAGAGCATTTGGCGGACGAGGGAGCCTTTGGCGGTGGAGAAGCCGGTGCGGATGACGAGCGCACGCGTAGCGGAGGACGCGCCCGGACGCACGCGGATGAGCTTTGTGCCAGAGTAGAGCACGTTCTTGTCAAGGCGCGCAAGGTCGCTTCCAGCTGCCAGGACGTCGGCAAGGTCGGCACGAGACACGGCAGACTTGACCACGGGAACCGACTCGCCCGTAAGCATGGACTCGTTGACAATACAATCGCCCTCCAGTAGGACCAGGTCGCAGGGGAGCGTCTCGATGAGTCGGTGGCCGAACGAGTCGCCGTTGGATTCGTTGTGCTTTGCGCCGAGGTCGACAATGTCGCCGGGTACGAGGTCTTCGCTGTTGAGCTGCTTCCAGGCGCGCTGGAGGTCGTCGAGCTGCTTGGCGTCGGACTCGGCCGAAGCAGTTGAGTCGACCTTTTCGGCGAGGGGCGAGGCGCCGAGGGATGAGGCTGGGCCGGCGGACGAGGCGCGCAGGACCGAGACATCGCAGCTAAACCTGCTCATTTTTTTGAGTTTCTCGATGGCTGCCTTTGTTGTGACGGTGGTTGCGAGGATACCAATGATCGAGACGATGCCAATGACGATGGCGTAGGGCACGTACTCATCGTTACACCAGAGTACGATGGAGTAGATCTGAAAGATGTAGAAGGGATGGAGCACTTCTTCGATCATGATGTCGAGCACCGACTTTCCCTTAACCGAGACCTGGTTGGGGCCGAAGAGCGCGTGCCTGTCGCGCAGCTGGGTGGAGGGGAGGCCTGTGGAGGTGAGGGCGGTGGCCCAGGCGGGGTCGCGCCACGATGCGAGCAGGTGGAACTTGCCGGTGACGGGATGGAGGAGGAAGGTGGTGGCGCGGTACTCGAGGATGTCGACGTAGCCTAGCTGCTCGACGGTGTTGGCATCGCTTGCGGACGTGTTGGCTGTCGACGTGGCGGCGGCAAGGACGTCGTCGGGAGAGCGGAAGGGTTCCTTGAGGCTGGGCGGGAAGACCTGTGCGAAGGGCATGGGATGCGGAAAAGTGGCGCGCTTGAGCGGCAAGATCTCGACTTCGCCGTGCTTGCTCTTGATGCGTACGAGCTTGTCGGAGTTGGATCGCGCCTTGAGCGTGGCGGAGGAGGTGTTGCAACGGATCCAGAACTTGTTGTTCGCCCAGTTGTCCACGATGAACCAGATGCCGGCGGTGAGGATGCAGAGGGAATACCAGAGGATGAGCATTGGGATGTTGCGGCGGTAGAAGCGCAGATGCAGCTGGATGTCCTCGTCGACGAGATAGATCGACTGGCGTGTGTCGTCGTGCTCTTGGTCGGCGGCATTGTCCGAGTCGAACGAGATGCGCTCGTCTCGCTTTTCGCCGGGCGTGCGTTGGTCGTGGGCGAGGCGGGCGGCCTGGACGATCTCGTCGAGTTCTGGGCGAGGCGGGAGGTGGTGGTCGGGGATGGCGTCGCTGGCGTCATCGGTCTTGGTGTCGACACCGGACGAGGTGCGGGGGGTAGCGTCGCTGACAGCTACGATCTTGTCCTCGGGTTCCAATTGCTGCAGAAGCGAATCGCTCTCCGGCTCGAGGAGGGTGAAGCGGGTGACGGGCGCACCATCGGGTGGGCAGGGCTCGAGTGGGCTGGTGTTGGACATGACGGCGACGCTCTGGCTTGCTCCGACCGGAACCAGGGGTGCGAGGAGGTGGGGGTAGGAAGACAAGGCGAAGGGAAGAGCGGGGCGGGCGAGTAAGATGGATCTGATGCTTCTCCGCCAACCTGGAAAGATAACAGAAGTCTCTCAGGACACAGAAGCTCCCGCGGCCAAATTTGACAAACGCGAAAAAAAACCCCCCCGGCGAAATCGCCTCGGTTTGGCGCTGTTTCACATCTGCCGAACGGCGCTTCCAAATACTGTACGCAAAGGTCGTGCGACCACGTCCATCACATCCGCCGCGGCGAACGACAAACACCGCACGTCCAGACCAACCCTTTCTGCGTGGAGGGGGGTTTCCTGCATCGATTGTTCGAAGCAGCTGCTGCCTTGACGACTAAGTCAAGTCGAGGCGGAGCGGGGATACCCTCCCTCTCTTGCCGACTCGGCTATCCAGTAGTGAGAGCAGGGGGGATGGGTTTGAGGACGCGGTGCCTCGGAACAATTCCAACCGACGGTTTCGATTTGACGTTCCCGTGTCGAAACCCGCGCAAATCCCGCAAATCCTCACCCAAAATGGAGAAGACGGCGGCCTAACAATGCGAATTGAAGCGCGCCTCCACATCGACCGCCGCTGCGCGCGATCGGATCCGCATGAGAGCCGCGCCGGAACGTGGTTTGGACCCTTTGCCGGCTCGGCCTTTGCTTCAGGACGCTCAACATCGCCGAACACCACTCTCAGCTGGATTCCACCAACTCGCAGCTTCAACTCGACAAAGATGAGCCAAGATAGGGAACCGCCTCACACCAAGGCTACGGGGGGCAACGAGGCAGAGGCGACGGTTTCTGCCACGGGCATGCCACGAATCATCCCTCGCCATCGCGATGAACGACCATCGTCTGAGCAAGACCTTATCGACGAGAAGGACGGTTCTGCACCTAGCGAGATGGAATCCGACGCTCCTTCCGACGCAGAACACTCGTATCCACCCACAGGATCGCTTACACTCGCCGCATTCAACCCCTACTCCTCCATCCCGCTTCCCCGCCGTCTGGCTCTCATCTCCTCCTCGGTAGCCATCAACTTTGGCCTTCCCTTCCTCAACGGCGTCATGCTCGGATTCGGCGAAATCTTCGCAAGAGTCATCCTCGCCCCCGCCCTAGGCATCACAGGCGTCGGATGGGCGGGCGATACCGCTAGAGCCATCGCAAATTGGAACTGGTTGCCAAAATCCAAACCTGCATCCGACACGCAAAGTCGTCAATACCAATCAACAGGCCAGTTCGACGATTGGTCCACCCAACAATCCAACACAACACAACACTTTGAACTCTAATTCCTCCTTGAACCACGACCCTCCCACCGCAATGACAACAATCTACTCTTTCAAACACAGCCAAAAAAGTTGAGCAACGTCTTCGATTCCACCTACCGCTCACAGCGTCCGCGCCGTCCGGGCAGCCGCCGCCATCTGCGCTTCTTTTCGGTTGAGCCGCTCAATCTCCTTCCACGGCCGCTCGTCCATCATCCAGTACACAAACGGTCCGTTGGGGCTCTCGGCCTCGTGCGCCGCGTCCGACCACACGCCAAACATCGGCGCGCGCGTCCCCGGCGGGCCCGGCTGGATCCCTTCCAGCTGCCACCGATCCTCGCCGTCGTAGACGTGCGTGAGCGACCAGTGCAGCCCCTCGATCTTGCGCTTGCCGCGCGTCACCGTCGCGTCCGCATCCTCGTCGCGCGCATACACGGGGCGCACCTTGCCGTGCACCCCGCCGCGCGGCATCGGCGCATCGTTGCCCCAGTACGTCACCGTCGTGCCGCGAAAGTACAGCGTAGGATACTCGGCGTCGTCCTCCTGCCCTTCCTCGTCCAGACGGTACGCAGGCTGCTCCGACTTGGGAAGAAGCTCCAGTCGCAGCTGCAGACAGTCGCCCACCGCTTCCTCCTGCCCGACCAGGTTCGGCACGCGCGTCGATGCCGCTCGCTGCCCGTTGCTGCCATTTGGTGCACCGGCTGCATTGCTCGGTGAAGAAGCCTTGCCGTCCGTGCCCGCCGCATTCGACGCCGCAGCCAGCTGATCGCGTCGACGCCGCGCCATGCGCACGTTGAACTCGACAAAGTGAGAGTAGTCCAGAAACGCGTACGTGCCCGCCCAGAAGCTCTCGCACCGCGCCCAGTCGTGCGGCTTGTCGTCGTCTGCATTTGACGTCGCTTGGCCTTGCGCTGGGCCTTCCGCCTTGACACCACGGCTGCTTTCCTCGACGGCGTCCTCCGCGTCGCGCTTCTGCGCCACCGCTGCGGCCAGCGACGAGACCCAGCCCGTGGGGAACTCGAGAAACTCGCGTCGCTCCATCGGATCGCGCACCAGCACGCCCGCGTGGTCGTACACCTTGGGGATGCGGATGCCCACGCCCCAGTTCTCGAGCCAGATCGCTTCCTTGAGGTTGGCGTACATGACCACCATGATCGCTTCCACCAGTTCCCAGTGAATGCTCTTGCGACGCAGGCTCACAATCTGACTCGCTGCAGCGTCGCCGTCGTTGGCGTCGCCATCCTTGTCGGCCGGCTTTTCGCCTTCCGCCTGGTGCTCTGCCTTCCACTTTGCTACCAGCGGCTGCAGCTCATCGGCGGCGTACGAGCCGCGGTAGTCCCATGCGCCATCGAGCGGTCTAAACATGTCGAAAAACGGCCCGAAGCGGCCATCCTCCTCCTCGTCGTCTTCGTCGTCTTCATCCACATCTTCGTCCCACTCTTCGGCGTCCTCGTCGTAATCGTCGTCCATGTCCTCGTCTTCGTCCCCGTCGATGCCGTTGGTGACTGTGCGACGTGCTGCGTGGCCGCTGGTGACGCGCATGGTCTCGGCTAGCATGCCGGGACGCACAAAGCGCACGTTGAGCTCGCCCGATGCTACAAAGTCGACCGAGTCGCCCACGGTGACCTGGATGTTTTGGCTGCCCGTGACGATGCCGATGGGCTGATGACCCTCGTAGGTGTACGTGCGGGTGTCGGCGTCGTAGCTGCCCAGCTCTGGTGTCTGGTAGGGCGCGGGAGCCGGGGCGGCCGACGACTCGCCGTTGTCATCGCGTGTTGCTGCTGGTTCTTCGTCGTCCGAGTCACCCCAGCCTCGAGCCGCTGATGCGTTGGGTGTAGCTGCAGCAGTGTCAGACGGGATGGGATTGCCGTATCGATCGGCGACGCGAAAGGTGCGCGTGTCTTGTTCGTCTTCGCTCATCTCGATCTCGATGGGGATGGGGTCGTCGGGAATGTCGTCGCTTGCATCGTCGAGCTCGAAAGCCTCGCGCCACGCATCGTCGTCGCCATCGTCGCTGCCACCACGCCTGTTGATGAAGCGCATCCCGTATTCGTTGACATGTTCCTCATCGGACTGCTGTTCGGGATCAGTGGCCAGGTCGCTTTCGGTGACCGCGTCGTGGTCGCGGTCGTCCTCTTCTTGCTGCTGGCCTTGTCGCGTATTGTAGCGCCAGGCGTGGAGGGGTGCGAATCCGTTGGACCAGCCGTAGTGGGCCGAGTCGTAGACGCGATGCCTCATGCGTGCCCGCACCTGGTCCTCTTCGTCGGGAGCGTTGCAGAAGCCGAAACTGGGACCAAACATGCGCGGTCGGAATCCAAGGATGGCTGCTGGCGGCTCGTCGAAGCTCTCTTGGTCGTCGTCGTCGGACTCTGCCTCGTCGGATGCGTGCACAGAGGCTGGCTGAGGAGTGGCTGGGGCATGTTCAGTTTCGGGCTGGCCCGCAGCCGAACTTGTGGACTGAGCCGAGGCCTGTGCGGCACCCTGATTCGCTAAGCCGTCTTGGCTGCGTTGACCTGCGATCTCTTGCGGGCTGGCGGTGAGGCGCTGGCTCTGAGAGTCTTTCCACGCGCGGATGCCGTGCAGGCAGTGGATGCGGGCGGCGAGGCGCGTGAGGGGATGTGCGAGCGCATCAATGTCGATGCCCTGGTCGACGAGGGGGTGGAGGGGCTCGGGATAGATGAGCTTGAGCAGGCGTGCTGATCGTCTGCGACTGGACTCGGGGCGAGCGTTGGTGGCTGATTTGGACGAGGACGATGACGCTCGTCTTGCCGAAGAAGTGGAGGGTGTGGCTTGTGTGGGAGTAGCCGAGGCGTCGGTCGAGTCTTTTGGTTTGCGTTGGGAGTCGCTTGGCGTGGTGGCTTGCTGGTTGGAGAGGCGACGGCGCTTGAGTGCCTGCGGAGATGATGGCGCGTTTGTCGAGCTGTGAGCTAGTGCCTGAGCCTTGTGCTCGCCGAGGCTGTGCATGATGGAGCGTGGAAAGATCCACTGGCTCCATGTGGGCTGACCGGAGGCGAGAACCGAGTTGTCGAGCCAGGTGGAATTGCGACAGGGCTGTAGGTTGGCAGCTGGCACGGCGGTGTCGACGACGGAGAGAAGGGCGGAGAGGACTGCGTTAAAGTTGAGCGTGATGGAAGTGTGATTGGACGGGTCGCCGGCGAAGAGGCGTGCGGCACGATCTCGGGTCTGGACGAGGGACATGATGGACGATGCGGCCGCTGCTGGCTTGGCGGGTGATTCCTCGTGCGCTTCGTCGTGTTCAGGGTCCTGGGCTTGCCACAGTGAGGGAAAGTCGTCGAAGCGTTCGAGGTAGAGACGCTTCCAGAGGTGGAGGTCGCCCGTGTTTCGGTCTCCATAGACGTGGCGGCGCGCGAGCTTGCATGTCTGAGAAAAGTGCTCGATGCAGAGCGGTGGGAGGTCGAGGAGGATGGTATGGATAAGTTCGGTGGGCAGGGCCAGGATGCCCTGAGGAGGAGGAGGTGATGGTGGTGCTGGTTGGACGCGGTCGTCGGGTTCGTCTACGGCGAGCATGGTTGTGTATGCCGCTTCCGTACTGGAGAGCAAGCCGTGTTGGCAGGTGGCGGTGGTGGTCGTGATGGTGGTGGTGGCAGAGACGACTGAGCCTTTGGAGCTGGGCTGATGCATCCGCCCAACTTTTGTCTTGGATATGAATATTGGGACGGGTGATTTAAGGGAGCAAGTGTGAATCAGCCTCTGACCCTGTGGCTCTTCCAGCCTGTGCGCAGCGAATGCACTGCACTCTGAAGTCACGCGGCATCTCCGTGGACCCTGTGAGCGGGAAAATCAGATTTACAATGTCAGCTCTATAGATCAAACATATCCAAGATTCGCCGACGCGTAGAGACCAACACCGCGCTCCAAAGCCAACCAAATCTCGGTCCGACTCTAGGTCTCGCTCTTTCCATCCTACCTCGACTCTGTATCACACAAACACCACCGCCATGGTACCAGCCGACGAAGCTTCGGCTTCAAGCCCGGCGCATCCGTTTCACAGTCCGAGGCCACGCCAAATCACCAAGCTCTTCATGGCAGCTCCCCCAGGCACACGCTCCTCACCACACTCACCGCACACCCCGCATACCCCCACCCACTTCGCACATGCGTCCAACATGGCAGCAACGTTCAACCCGGACGGAAGCCTCAGCGTCCTGCGCAACGACGACGATGCCAACAACAGCGGCCTGCTCGACCTCAGCCCGGCCTTCTCCAGGATGGTCAAGTCGCAACCCAACTTTGGCTCGCAGCGCGGCGACTCCACGCCTTCGTCCAAGCCCTTGCGCCGCGTACACACGGGCGCCAAGGCAAAGTCTCGCCTCAGCATCCCTGTGGTGCTGTCCGACCTTGTCCATTCGTCACAGCCAGCCGACGACCACATGCACACCGACCCGCTCGCCCCCAACGGCGCCGCCCCTGGCACTTCAAGTGAAGCTCATCCTCCGACGTCCGTGCACACGTACGATCCGCTCGCCGACGAGCATGAGGACGTCTCGGACGATCACGACGATGCGCCCGCCTCGACGCTCACACGCCTCCGCAGATGGCGCCAGGACGCCATGCAGCAGCATCTCTACGACACGGCCATCTTCTGGAGCACCAAGCTGCTCTCGCTCGAGACCACAGCGGCTGCGTACAACGACGCCTACCATCTGGCGCAGTGCTACTTCTATACACATCAATATGCGCGCGCCGAGCACCTGCTCACCAACCCGCTCCGCATCCGCGCTCCTCGGTCGCAGGCGCATCCACCAGCTCCCACCGACGTTGCCGCATCTTCCTCGGCCAAGCACACAGGTGCAGAGGGCAAGCACACAGGTGCAGAGGGCTTCCTCATGTCGGACAACGTGCAGGATGACGACGACGCCTTGCACGACGTGCTGCAGCGAACGCGCTCTGCCTCCATCCTGCCGCCTAGCATCATGGCGCGCTCCTCCACCAAGGACAGCATGTACTCGGCCACCTCCTCCACCACGGGCAAGCGCAAGAAGCGCGACTACAACCTCTCGGCCAACGGCTCTTCGGGCGCCGACAGCGCCAGCAATCCGGCCGACTCGGACGACGATACACAGGATGCCTCGGCCGCGACCGATCGCGATGGTTCGGTGCTCGTGCGCGCCTATGCGAACCGACGCTCGACGCGGCCATCCGCGGATGCCACGCTGGATCTGCAGCCCGATGTGGACGCGGTGCGCAACGCGAGCGTGGAGCGCTCACATGGGCCTGTGCTCGTCAACCACAGTCTGGCATGTCGCTACCTCGCAGCGCAGTGCCAGGTGCGGCTGGCAAAGTACCACGAGGCACTCGACCTGCTCGGCGAGACCGAGCACTGGGGTGCGTCGGCGAGCAATCGCAAACCCGCCACCGATGGAGGCATCAAGCTCGGTTCGTCGGTCGCCTTCCTGCGCGGCCAGATCCACTTGCGACTCGAGGACCTGCCTCGGGCCAGGGATGCGTTTATGGCTGCGCTCGCGCTGGATGTCAAGAACTACCAGGCCTTTTCGGCGCTGGTGGATGGCGAGATGCTGGGTACCGACGAGCAGTGGGCGTTTGTGCAGAGTCTCGAGTACGCTGCGCAGGCAGGTGACGAGCCGGGCGCAAGGGAGGACTACGAGCTCGTACGTCTGCTCTACACCACGCAGCTTTCCAAGCAGGCCCGGGCGCATGCAGCCTCCACGGCGGCAGCACGACGTAGGCTTGTGGCCGAGTATGCGCTGGATGACGATCCGGACGTGCTGTGTGGGCTGGCGGCCGAGCTGATTGCGCGGCTGCGGTATTCGGATGCCTTTGTGGTCACCAGTCGCGTGCTCGAACTGGCCGCTGATCATCCGACTGCCCTACCCATCCACATCGCCTGCACGTACCACCTCAAGAATCTGCGTCCGGCGCTGTTTATGCTCGCGCATAGGCTGACTGAGTTGCAGCCCGAATCGCCCGTATCGTGGTATGCGGTGGGCACCTGGTACGCCACCACCCGACGCTGGGCCGAAGCACGCCGATACTTTAGCAAGGCCTCGCTGCTCGATCCGCGCTTTGCACCGGGGTGGATTGCGTTTGGACATACCTTTGCACTCGAGGGCGAGAGCGACCAAGCGGTGATCGCATACTCGACGGCGGCAAGGTTGTTTCCGCAGTCGCATCTGCCCAAGCTATTCGTGGGCATGGAGCATCTGCATCAGGACAATCTCTCGCTCGCAAGGCTTTCGCTCGATGCAGCCGCGGCCATTTCGACTGCTGATCCGCTGCTCGCCAACGAGCGGGGCATCGTTGCGTTCCAGACGGGCGATCTTGTGGGCGCGGTAGGGTTCTTCGAGAGGGCGATTGAGCTGGCGCGCGAGACACAGCAGCCCGCAGCAGCGTGGAAAGCATCGTACCTCAACTTGGGCGTGGCAAGGATGCGGCTTGGACGCGACAAGGCCGCAAGCGAGGCCCTACAGGCAGTGGTGGAGCTCGATCCACACAGCTACCAGGCGCATCTGTGTCTGGGTATGCTGGCGCATAAGCACGATAGGTTGGATGATGCTGTGCAGCACTACCACGAGGCGCTATCGATCCACCCGCGTGACGCCCATGCCACCGAACTGCTCGACTTTGTGCTCGACGAAAAGGTGCACTACGGCGTCAACGATTTCGCCAAGTACGACCCGGATTCGCGCCTGCGTAGAAGCGGCGAGCCGGCGGGGAAGGGTAAGCAGAGACAGCAGACGGCGGCGCAGCCAGTGCTGAACGCATCGACGCAGAGTGCTGGCCCAGCGCGCACAGCACCCGCTCCACACTTGGCCACGCCACAACGAACCCCGGCACACGCATCGATGCACTCGACAGGCGAGATGAGCCTCGACATGTCAGTGTCCCACTCGCATACGGCGCACACCGACGCCGACCAGTCGAGCGTGCTCATGGACGAATCCACGTCGTGAAATGGCATCGCATCGACCTCATGCACACACCGACGTTTCGAAAAGCGTGGATTGAGCCGGAACAGAGAGAGAATCAGTTGGCGATGCGCGTATCGTCGAGCCTGGGCGCGCGCGACTTGTCGACGAGCGCCTTGAACTGCTCAAAGAAGAGGAAGAGGAGCGTGGTCTGTGGCTGGAGACGCAGCCACGCGGGGGTCCAGCCGCGGAAGAAGACGGCTGGGCCGTCCTTTGCGAGCGCGTCGCGGATGACGGTGCCCACGCCGACGCCCGAGCCCTTGAGGTTCTGGACGCGCGACTTGACGACGTCGATGGGCGTGCACATGGTGGTGCTGAGCGTACCTGCGCAGAACGAGGCGGCGGTCTGAAGCACCGGTCCATCCGGCAGAACATCGAGCCGCTGGAGGATGCCCTTGAAGAGATCGTACGAGCCGAGCTGCGAGATGTTCATGACCACCGAGCGCACCACGTTGGGCGAGAGGCCGCGGAAGAGCGTGGCGGCGCCGTCGTCGCGCACGATGCGCACGAGGCCGTCGATGCAGTTGCGGTAGCCGTAGCGCGACTCGCGCGGCAGGTTGAGGTCCGAGCACATGCGCACCAGCACGATCTCGGCGGGATTGCCCACCACGCCCGCCACCGCACCCGCGGTACCGGAGCACAGCGCCAGCTCGGCCGTGGTGGGCGCCGCGCCCGAGCGCGCCGTCACGCGCGTCTTCATGTCCTCGTACACCGCAAACCGCGTCACCGAGTAGGTAAACTGGCGCAGCAGCGTCGCGGTCAGGCCGTGCCACAGACTCGTGACGCCCTCGGTGCGCACCGACTGCACAATCGTACGCAGCATGCCCTGCTTCACCGTCGCCGTCTGCAGCCGGTACTTGGTCAGGTCGAGCGGATGCGTGATGCTCGCCGCACAGCACCCTGCCGCGCCTATTTACACCAATCCAAGCCAAAAGGAGATTCAAAGCACGTCAGTCTTCCCAGCCATATCAGCCGCGATATTGTAGGATCATACGCACCTCCGAGCCAGAAGGGATAGGATTTTGGGGCGGCCTTGTTGGTGGACGAGGAGGAGCCGACGGCAGCACCGGCGCCTGCACCGGCGAGAGCGCCCTTGGCGGCGTTGAAGGTGCCCGAGTTGGCACCGGATGTGGTGGGGATGCGTAGCGTCGACATGGCGGAGAGCACGCGGTCGGCGGTCTATTTGCGAAGTGCGGCGGACAGTCTAGACGATGCGAGCGGGTGGGATGCTGGCGATCGATGGGGCGAAGCACGGGACGGGGAAGGGGGTCGAGTGGGAGCAAGCGATGGCAGCGAGGCAAGGAAGAGGTTTATATCTGGCTCTGGCCGGGCAAGGAGAGGGGGCGGAGTGGGGGCTGGGGCTTC